GGGCGGGGGTTCTCAAAATCATGTAAATGCGCAATTATGTCACTCTGCCTTTGGACTGCAGCACACATGACTACACTGAAACCCGTGGACATGTTTTCTGTCACCCTACTTTAAATAGTACTGCTGTGCTCACATCAACCTCATTACACGACCGGTGTGGCGGTTAGGCTCTTTTTCATTGTTCTCCTAAGACACGAGTTCAATTTCCGTCTTGGGAATGTCTTTTATTATTCAGTTCCATTAGCTATCTCAAAATACCAGGCAATGTGTGTACATTCAAGTTTCAGTTACAGATAAGGATGACTCTCTTGGGAAATGATGGCGTCGGTAGTGTTGTGGCTACGCTACCGAGCTTGTAATAGTGACATCATCGGTTCGAGTTTTCGAGGCTCAGCTTAATTTGACGTTGTGTTCTTGGGAAAGGCACTCTGCGCGGATTTTCCGATTTAGCTCGGTCCTATCGGAGATGGACGTTATAATATTCGGAAGTCTCGCCTTTTCGGTAACTTAACAGTGCAGCAAGTGCGTTAAAACTATACAACGTCTCCGTTTTATAAGATAACAAAATACTATCTTAAGCTGTGATATTCTCTAATAGGTCAACAACGTGTGTGTGTCGGGCTGCTTAACTTAACGATGGGGTGTGTAGATCTATATGCAGCTCAGACGGTCGAGCTTTTAGAATCTACGGAATCGACCCTAGTTTCTGCCAGCGGGATATAGATTTGAGGCTGAGCCATCAATAATATATTTGTAAATGCACCAGCTAGCTATGCTTAGGTGCTGTCTTAGCCTAAATAGATTTAAGACAACGTTAGAACAGCGCCAGCTTAACCCAGGGGGGTGCATTTTTGTATCTGTGCTATATGGACACTGAATTGATTTTGTCTGAAGCTAAAGTGGTTTTAAATGTCACTGTTTACTTATTAACCAAGCTGGGAAAACGTTGAAGAGAAACGGAGAAGGGGGGGGGTGGACAAGAGAAAGAGAGAGAGAGAGAGAGAGAGAGAGAGAGAGAGAGAGACAGAGAGAGAGAGATGGTCCATAAAACGTTTTATGCCCTAGTTGGAGATTAGATTACGCCCGATCTGAATTTTGCTCTTTAACTTAAGTTTAACCTTTGTCATACGATCACGAAAGCCAGCCAGGTAGGTCTAAATCGTGTCGCTGAGGACGTAAAATACGTGCGGCTACATTTTCTTCCAATCACGTAATGTGAAAACAGAAGGTAATCCCTTCTGCTCCCACCCAGCTGGGCTTTTTATTTGTGTGTGGGGGTTTTCTACAAAATTATCTTTTCTGTTCCCTCTTCAAAATTTCTTTTGCCCCCTTGGCTGGGAGAATGAGTAAGAAGGGAAAAGTGAACTTTAGCCCCCCCCCCCCGAACTTTCTTGACCAAGTGCGCATATTCGCAGTCTCCATTTTCAATAAGGCCTTACTCGGGTGGCCGTGAGGTCATGAGTGAAAGACATTTTAAATATATTTTTACTTTTTAAAAGGGAGGGG